GTGAAAAAAAAAAAGACAAAGTCACCCTGGCTGGTGTGGCTCAGTGGATTGAATGCCGGCCTGTGAACTCAAAGCTACGCTAGATCTTCACTGAGCATGTTTTCCAGACCATTGGCCAGGACCTGGCTGTATTTTCCATCCTTTATGTCCTGTCTGTTCTAGAAACAGTTTGGGTCCTGGCCAGAAGGCTCAGTTGGTTGGAGCATTGTCCTATACCCCAAAGTTTGTGGGTTCAATCCCAGGGTCGGGAGGCACTTGCAGAAGGCAACTGATTGATGTTTCTCTTTCACATCAATGTTTCTCTCTCCCTCTCTCAAATCAACAAACATATGCTTGGTTGAGGATAATGCATGATGATGATCACGCACTCTACCTCATTCTCAGTGAGCTCTCCTGATGAGGTCAGTGTCTGCTTTCCTCTATACCACATGAGCGTATCTTCACCCCACACTCTTAATTGCAGTGATGGCAAAGACCATTTTTCACCATCCATGGATATCGGTGTTGAGTATTCACAAAATGTGCTAGAACTTCTCAGGGATCACTAGAGACACAGAAGCAGCCCCAGTAGCGGTGGCATGTATTTAAACTCAGTACAGAAAAATAACCCAATACTTTTGTTTTTAGAATTTGAAGATTCTACTCCAGAAACTTGGAGAGGAATTCAGAAAGTAATCTCAGGACCACATTCACTTCCTTCTCATATTTGTCCTCATTTCTGAGCCAAGTCCCTTGGCCATGAGAAATTCTGATTTGCATCCATTTGCTGTTTTAAAATTATTTTTCCTGGGAAAATATGTGAATTGTAGAAAAATTGAAAATCAGAGAAAAGATATAAAGAAGGGGAAACACTCATAATCCCTTCACCTAGGAATGACTGCTTATAACATGTTAGTGTTCTTTTCTTGTTATTTTAGGTGTGCCTACAGATTTTTTTTAGATATAATTCACATATTATAAAATTCATCCTTTTAAAGTGTAAAATTCAGTGGGTTTTAATATGTCCACAGGCTTAATCATAACTATATCTAATTCCAGAGCATGTAATCAACCCAGAAAAGGAACCCTATACCCATTAGAAGTCACTCTCCATTTTCCTCTCCCCAGTGGAACTGAATCAGTGGATTTGCCTTTCCTGAACACTGAATGTAAATAGAATCATATAGTGTGTGACCTTTGTGTCTGGTTTCTTTAAGATGCTTTCAAGCCCTGGTTGGTGTGGTTCAGTGGACTGAGTGCTGACCTGCAAACCCAAAGGTCACTGGTTCCATTCTCAGACAGGACACATGCCTAGGTTGTAGGTCGGGTCCCTAGCTGGGGCTGTGTGAGAGGCAACTGATGCAAGAGGCAACTGATCAATGTTTCTCTCCCTCTTTTCCCCTCTCTGTCTAAAAATAAATAAATAAATAAATCTTTTTTTAAAAAGATGGTTTCAAGGTTTATTTTGTAGCAACTTTTACGTTGTAGCATGTCTCAGTACTTCAGTCCTTTTGATGGCTGAATAATATTCCATTATATGGATCTACCATATTTTATTTATTTACCCATTCATCAGCTGATGGACATTTGGATTGTTTCTACTTTTTGGCTATTATAAATAATGCTTCATGAACATTTGTGTATAAGTTTTTGTAAAGATATGTTTTCAGTTCTCTTGGGTATTCAATTCTCTAGGAGTGGGATTGCTGGGTCTTATAGTAATTCTATGTTCAACTTTTTGAGAAACTTTCAAACTGTTTTCCAAAGTGGCTGCACCATTTTATTTTCCCACCAGCAATATGTGAGGGTTCCAATTTGTCCATTTTAGATTTTATTTATTTATTTTTAGAGAGAAAGGAAGAGAGCGAGAAAGAAAGGGAGAGAAACATTGATGCAAAAGAGTAACATCAATTGGTCGCCTCTCATCTGTGCCCCAGCTGGGAACCAAACCCACACAACCCCACAACCCAGGCAAGTGCCCTGACCTGACCAGTAATCAAACCAGCAATCTTTTGCTTTGCAGGACAATGCTCAACCAACTGAGCCGCACCTGTCTTACCCTTTTTTTTTTCTTTCAAGATTTTTATTTATTTACTTATTCTTAGAGAGGGGGAAGGGACGGAAACAGAAATGTGTGGTTGCCTTTTGCGCGTCCCTTACTGGAGGCCTGGCCCACAACCCAGGCATGTGCCCTGACTGGGAATCAAACCAGAGACCCTTGGGTTCACAGGCAGGCACTCAATCCACTGAGCCACACCAGCCAGGGCTCTTTTTCTTTATCTTAATAGTCATCCTAGATGTAACTTGCTCTCTCATTGTGGTTTTTATTTGCATTTCCCTGATGACTACGGATGCTGGCAATTTATCATGCGCTTATTAGCCATTTGTGTATCTTCTTTGAATAAATGTCTAAAGAAGTCCTCAGCCCATTTTTAAATTGTGTTGTATTTTTATTGTTGAGTTTGAGTTCTTTATATCTTCTGAATATCAGAACTTTATCAGACACATATTTTGCAAATGTTGTCTCTTATTCTGTGGATTGTCTTTTTATTTTCTTGATGATGTCCTTTGGAACACAAGTTTTTAATTTTGATGAAGTCCAATGTATCTGGTTTTTCCTTTGGTTGCTTATACATTTGGAGTCATATGAAAAAGACTATTGCTTAACCCAAGGTTATGAAAATTTACATCTTATATGTTTTCAAAGTTTTAGAGTCTTCCATTTATGTCTTTGATCCATTCCAAGTTCATTTTTACATATGATGTAAAATAGGGATCCAACTTCATTAAAAAAATTTTTTTATTCAACTTCATTTTTTTGCATGTGGCTATCCAGTTGTTCTAGCACCATCTGTTGAAAAGGCTATTCTTTTCCCCATTGAATTGTCTTGGTATTCTTGTTAAAAATTAATTGCATATAAATGGATGAGTTTATTTCTGGACTCTCAGTTCTATTCCATTGATCTTTATATCTACCCTAGGCCAGAACCACAGTCTTGATTGCTGTATCTTTGCAGTAAGTTTTGAAGTTGGAAAGTGTTAATCCTTCAACTTTTTTTTTTTCAATACTGTTTTGGCTTTTCAGAGTCCTTTGCATTTCCATATGAATTTAACATTTTAAAAATATTTTAACATTGATTTGAGAAAGAAGGAAAAAAGTCAACTTGTTGTTTCACTAATTTATACGTTCATTGCTTGATTCTTGTATGTGCTCTGACTGGAACAATGCTCCAGCCAATTGAACTGCTGGCCAGGACCTCCATATAAATTTTAAAATCAGTTTATCAATTTATGCAAAAACCCAGCTGGGATTTTGGTAGAGATTATATTGAATCTGTAGACCAGTTTGGAGATTACTGTGATCTTAACAATGTTAAGTCTTTCACACCATGAACATGGGTATCTTTTCATTTATGTTGATCTTCTGTAATTTGACACTTTGTAGTTTTCAGCGTAGAGCTTACACTTCTTTCGTTATATTTTGTTAAATTCCTAAGTGTTTTGTTCTTTTTTATTATGCTATTGCCTATGAATTTTTAACATAGGTGGGCTCTTATTATAGGTACCATTTTGCATCTGTTTTTTTTCATTTCAATTATATCATAGACATTTTCTCTAAGCTATGAAGACTCCTTCTTCAACATGGTTTTATAAGTCTACATATTAGTCCATTATATGGTTAGCCTATAACTTACTTAGCATTCTCTTGTTATATTTAGGTTCTTTACAATTTTTCCTTTTCATAAATACTAGCGTGCATCTTGCTATGTCTACATTTCAAATTATTTCCTTATAAGTATTCATGTATTCTTGTTTTCTCATAATGGCCTTTACTCCTACTCTTGTGAGGAGGTATGAGATCCCAAGTAACTTTGAACTCCTTGAGACCCATTCCTATTCTTTTGCAAATCCAAATAATCCCCAGGGTATTACTCCTTCGGAAAGCTCCCAAGGGTCCTAGGCTAGGATCAGGTGCTTCTCATCTTGTTCCCCACAGCACAGTGTCCTGAATTTGCCATAGCGGTCATCATTCGGTGATCATTATACATACCCCCACAAGATCATGAGGCCCAAAAGGAAACCAAGGGCTAAACATGTGTACACCTCTAGCCCTTGGTCAATAGGAGGCCCTTAATAAATGTTTATTGAGGGAGCGAGTCAGGAGCTTAATGTCCTAGACCGGGCTAGAAATCTTGAGACAGAGAATTATGGCCAGGTTTTTGGAGTGGCCTGTCAAGTGTGCCACGCAAACTGTGGAATGAAAAGGGCCCCTAAGGTTGCCTTATTCAAGAGTGTTCAATTCTTCTTTTATGACCACAGTATAGCATATTAGATAGATAACAGAGACAGAAGAAAAGATGGTGGAGACCGAAGCACTGTGGAATTTTCTCTGTGGCTCAAGACACCACAATAAAACCAAGTTGTGAAAAGGATTGACTGGCCCTGGCTGGTGTGGCTCAGTGGATTGAGCTCCTGCCTGCGAGAGACAACCAACCACACAGTCATGTTTCTCTCCCTTCCCCTCTAAAAATAAATTTTAAAAATCCTTAAAAAAGAGCTGGTCCATTATTCTAATTGTGTAGACTAAAGGAAAATGCCCTTGAGCAAGAGCGTGACTTGTTCAAGGTTACACAATTAGTGGCTGAGGGGGAAAGTAACTCAGATCTGACTCCCATTCACAGAATGTTCCTCTTTCAATACAGCCTCTGAGGCAGACCTTTAAAGCATCTCACATCCCTTCTTCAATTGTCTAAAATTCCACTAACTGAAATCTGTTGCTTAATATTGTCGCTGTGTAGCATATTTTCAAAGTAAAACTAATTCTATGGAAAAATTTTTAAAAATTTTTATGGGCATAAGGGAGTATGATACACTGAGCAATCATGACAAAGCTTTAGAGTCAAACTTCGGTTGTGTTTTAATAAATTTTATTTATTTACTTTTAGAGAGAGAGGAAAGAGAGGGAAAGATAAATCAATTGGTTGCCTCTCACACACCCCCAACTGGGGACCTGGCCAGCAACCCAGACATGTGCCCTGACTGGGAATCAAACTGGAGACTTTTCAGTTCGCAGGCCAGTGCTCAGTCCACTGAGCCACGACAACCAGGGAAAAATCTCAGTTCTTGAACATCTCCCATTTCCAACAATTCGGTTCTCAACCAAGTTGTTCATGGGGGAAAAAATGTCTCAGTTGTCAAACAAAACTTTGGTTTTTGACCCAACAACACTTTCACGCTGATACCTTTATGATCATTCATGCATCTCTCAGGCAACAAAGGAGAGAATGTGCGAGTATGAGTATGATTCGGTTTTCCAACAAATCACTTCTCGAAGTCTTTAGGAATGAATTAAGTTCAAGAACATAGGTTCCACTGTACTATGAAATGGCAATTTTCCTTTTTGCAGTGCCTAGGAGGCACTAACTTACCATAAATACTGATATAGGGAGGCAAATGACAGATACTTTTTTCAGATTTTAGTTCTTGGGTGGCTCAGTGAAGGCTAAGAGATGGGGGGCATATGTAACTCTCTTGCTGTCTTCTTTGCAATATCTTCTTTCCCTGCTCCAGGACAGTCCAAGCCCCTCAGCCTGGCTTGCATTCTGGGATGGTACATCTCTCTCCATGCCCCACCTCCAACCTCCTCCAGTCCCACTCAAGATCTCAACTTTCCCTGAATAGATTAGGTACTCCCTCAATTAGGGCTCCTGTCTTATGCATATTTGTATCACCAGTACCAAAAGGGCAGGTCCTAGTGAAACCGAAAAGCCAGCATTCGTGCTGCCTCTCACCTACCAGACCCAGTAAGCAGAGACAGGGCTTGAATCTTTGTGAGCGCTTTATTCAGATGGTCACGAGCTAAGAAGACGGTGGGTGTGTACCCTAACAGACCATCTTAAATTCCGTATTAAACCGGACCCTTTTTATAAGAAGAAAGGTGTAGATAAGGGGTTTGGAATTAAGGGGGAAGTTAATCAGATGAAAGCTGCAGCATTCTTTCATCTGTGTCCTGGGCAGTGAGTGTCTCACTCTGGAGTACAAAGGCTCAGCTACAGTCTTGATTGCCTGCAGTCCTCCTGAGGCATGAAGGTGGAACTGCTTATGGTCTCCTGGAGTCAAGATGGGCCATACCTTCAGTTCCCAAAACGACAGCTTTTTACATGCACTGACTACAAAGCTTATTAGCTATCACCGGAAACTAAATATTTTCCAACATCTGAGTCTCCCATCATTGGCACACAGTGTTGAGTCAAAAAATGGCTGAACCTACTGAAACCCCTAATCTCTAGCTTTTTATCAATTAGTACCAGCAGGGGAAATGTTTACCCCTGCAAAATTCACCTCAGAGGTGCTATCTCCTTCTCGGCCTCCCAGCATTTCTCAGGGGACTCTCAACGTCCTTCCCCGAGTCTTCCTTCCTCATGTGTGTGCCCACGGCTGTTTTCGGCATCCCGAGAAGGCCAGTTAGGACGTAAGTGCCTTGGTCGCTCAGGGACCGCAGGTGGGCGGTGAGTGGAACACCTTTATAACCTCCGGAAACGCATACGCTCTGGGGCTGAGTTTCTATAATAAACACACCAGCAAGAAGGCCCACCGCTATACTGTTACTCCCGGGAAGACCGCGACTTCGGTTCCGGCGTTCCTCTCTATGGTTTTCGACAGCCTAGAAGGACCGAAACGCCACTTCCGGGAAGATGGCGGCTCAGCGGTCGGATCTGGCACGTGTGTTGCGGAGAGGGGTTTGCAGTGACTGACGGTAAGGGGCTACTTACTGTCTCTTGAGAGGCGACAGTTGGTGCTCCACGTAAAACTGCGGCGGGAGGGCTGGAATTTAGACCTCAACAGGAAGGAAGCCGAGAGAAAAGTTTTAGTCGGCTCTTTAGAACCTCAGTAAAAAGAGCGGCCCGGGGCCACTTCTCCAGAAAACTTGGGCTGACTAGAGAGACAGTTGCTGAACATGTGCTCGCAGCCTTCACAAAGACTGCGGCGCAGAGCTTGGGACCTAGTTGATTTTGTCCACAGGTATCCATTTTTAAGTCCGTCACAGCAATTCCCACTGAACGCCTTCTCGATTTTGTGAGTGCACTGGGTTTGGGGAACGAAGGCTGTTTCTGACTCTGACTCCGGGGCGTATTGTTTCGAATTACTGCGGCAAGCGGTAGGCTGTGGAAAGAGTAAAAACAGAAAGCACAAAGAGCTGCAAGGGACTGAGGAATGTATGATTGCCATAACGCCAGTTCTGGAATGCCTGAGATCCAGGCTCCACTATTTGCCAGGTACTTGATTTGGACAAGGAACTAAACCTCTCAATGCCATTTCTTCATTTGCAAATTACAGTAATACCACATCCTAAAAGGGTTGTTGCAGGATTGAGATAATCTGTGTCAAACATTTAGCAACAGTCTGTCATCAAGTAAATGCACAAGTAATTATTACTGAAGTCTGGGAGCCAATAGGGGTAACTTCTGAGAAAGGCAGAGTTTTGAGGTGAGGTTAAAGGCCTCATTGTTTGAATTTTACTTCTTTTTAACAGTATCAAGAAGCAAGATAGGGCCACTTATTCACTCAATGCTTTTCTGTTGGGACTCTCAAGGTATCAACTAGGTTGACAGGTAATCATCCTTCACAGTAGAAATGTGAGTGATTCTGAACTTGCCACTCTTCAAATGTAACATACAATGTTTAGGAGGGGTGACTTAATGATGTGTCTTAAAAGCATGCTTAACCTTCCTAAACCCACATGATAGTTTTACCTTCAGAGCTGTCACTTTGGGAGGCCATAGGGTTACTCTAGTAGTGCCATTCACTGTTCAGCTTTAAGAATGGTCTGCAATGCCTGTAATAAATTATCTTAATACAAGTTAACTTTAGTAAGTCAAGTCAGCAGTGGTAGTAACCTTGAATGTATTGTGTGATAAGCCATCTTACCCATTTCAGAGGCAAATTTGGTATGTAAGTTCGATAATGCCATTTTGGAGTCCAAAACAAGGAACAGTGCAGTGACTATTAAAATGTGCAGTTAGCCCTGGCTGATGTGATTCAGTGGCTTGAGCACTGGCCTCCAAACTGAAAAGTTGCTGGTTCGATTCCCTGTGGGGACACATGCCTGGGTGGTAGGCCAGGTCCCCATTTGGGGGGGGGGGTGCGTGAGAGGCAACCAATTAATATTTCTCTTGAATGTCAATGTTTCTTACCCTCTCTTCCTCCCTTTTACTATTTCTGAAAATAAAATCTTTTTAAGAAGTAAAATTACGTTTAAAAATGCAATTAGTTGGGGATATAATAGGAAGGAGGACACTTTAGAGTCAGGCAACCTGGGCTCATATTCCAGCTCCATCTCTGACTAGCTGTGTAACCTCAGGCCAGAAACACATGCTTTGTCTCCTCATTTGTAAAATAAGGATATCCTGACAGGACTGTCAGGATTAAATGAGATAATATGTGTAATCCAGCTGTTTTGCATCAAATGATCAATAAGAGTACCCTTCTTAAGATGCACAATTTCAAGAAGGGTGCTCCAACAAGACTGAAAGACAGTGACAGTGGGGAAGAGGTTTGTAGCCCCCACACCAAGAGGACAATGTAAATACTATGGCACAGGTACAGGATATGGACTCTATTAAGTACTTTTATAACTCAGGTTAACAAGCATCTCATTGCTTTTTTACATGGGAGATGTTCTCACATAGTGGCAAAGAGTTGGGGATTCTGCAGGCCAGCTGCCTAGCTTTGAGTTCTGTACACATTAGCTGCATGACTTTGACCAAATCATCTAACCTCTTTAGGCCTGTTTCCTCATTTGTAAAATAGGGATAATCATACTTTCCTGACTGTAAAGTTCAGGAAATCTTGGGGGTTGTGAAGATTAAATAACAATCTATGTAAGGCCTTAGCACAGCCTGGCATGTGGTGGGTGAACTCTCCGTAAGTGTAGATATTATTAATAATACCTTTTGACATGTCAATGTTGATCTCTTTGTGGTCAGACAGGAAGCTCCCCAAGGACCAAGCCTCTTTCTTCTATCTCTGCCTCAGGTTAAGGAAGTAATTCTTATAAAAAAAAAAAAGCAACCAGGGTGGATTTAATGTTTGATTTGGCACTTTCTCCTTTCCTTTTAAAGGGATGATGTGACCTTTTCTTTGATGAGGACCTAAAGACAGTTGCTCTTTTTTCACCATGAATGTCGTCACCCCAGAGGTCAAGAGCCGTGGGATGAAGTTTGCTGAGGAGCAGCTGCTAAAGCATGGATGGACTCAAGGTGATCCCCATGGGGCACCTTCCACACCACCCCAGTTCGCTGCCTACCCTCTGCCCAGGGGAGAGGCATCATTGTGGATGATCCCTGTGTAGTCCATTCAATTGGAGAAGGAAAAGCTAGCTTAAAGGGAACTTTGCAGAAGAAAATTTGACTTTTACAGTCAAGGGGGAGAGGAGGAAGAAATTTGACAATGGATAGTAAAAAATAAGTGGTTGAGAGGACTGGGACAGGGGGGAAGAAACATGACCTCTGTCCTAAGGGAATTAATGAAAGAAAAGAGCTTGGTTTCAGATAATGGCAGGGGGACTGCACAGGGAGGTGCTAGAAAGAACTACTGGGAGGGCTTTCAAAAGAGACAGAGTTTGCCCAATGCTAGGTGTGTGGAATGGCAAGGAGTGGCATGTGCTGGGATGCCTGGTGAGGGTATAAGGCAAGCAGAATAAGCTAAGTCACCCACTCTCTTCTGCAGGCAAAGGCCTGGGCCGGAAGGAGAATGGCATCACACAGGCCCTCAGGATAAGACTGAAGCAGGACACTCATGGGGTAAGACTGGGCAGGCTGAGGGAGGTATGGATGGCAGCGGGGAACCCTTGAGGACAGGGAGGCAGGTTCGGAGTTCATGCTTCTTCCTTTGGCAGGTGGGACACGACCCTGCCAAGGAGTTCACAAACCACTGGTGGAATGAGCTCTTCAATAAAACTGCAGCCAGCTTGGTAGTCGAAACTAAGCAGGTATAAACTCTAATAGATGGGCACATGAAACATGGGGGCCTGGGACATACGGAGGTGAGGGAGACATGGTATGTCATCAACTCACTGGTATTCCCCACAGGATGGAGTACAGATAAAGCGCCTTTCTAAGGAGACCACCCGTCATAATCATCCCAAGCCCAACTTGCTGTATCAAAAGTTTGTGAAGGTACTAGAGGCTGGGGGTGAGAGCGATCATCTTTTTTCCCTTCCCTAGGGCCTGAACAATTGCCTTGTGTGCCCTACCTATTCTCAAGACCATGCTAAGATAGGGGGATCCTGCATCTAACCTTGCTGTTGCTTAATTAGATTGCCCCAACCCTTGGCAAGAATTGAGATCTTCAGGTTATATGGACCTCTACCATCAGCTTAGCGGGCAGCAGCGGAGGGGGAGGTAGGGCATAGTCAGGACCTGCCAGAGTGGAGCAGGAACGGGATGTCCAATTCAAAGGACTTAGAAGTCAGAGACCTGAGAGATTATCTGATCCACCCTTATTTTGCACATGTGGCCAAAAGGGGGTGAAGAGGGGTTTGGTGAAGATCCCACAGCTTGCTAGTAATGGCAGACAGGACTAGAACTCAGGTCTCACTCCCATCTACCAGCATACCAATAGAAGTTACCTAATATTTACCAATCACCTATTATGTGCCAAGGGCTCTACATGATAACTAGCAAATCTTTCCATTTCTCTTCATCTCTGTGGCCATCTTCTACCCCAGACCATCACCATCTCCTAACTTCTTACAGCCTCATGACCAGACTCATCACTTCTAATCTCACTCCAATCAGTTCACCCTCCACAAAGCATCCAGTGTTCTAAATTCATTGTCACAGACTCTTCCTTGACTTAGTATGACACAGACTGAATTTATCAAGCTTTGTCCCTGCCAACTTCTCTAGCCTTATCTCTTGCCACGTCTCTCAGGATTTCTGTATTTTAGCCAGATGGAATCATTCTTTAAGTTACCATCTTCTTTCACCTTCAAGTTTTTGTACATGCTGTTCCCTCTGCCTGGGAATTCCGCTCCCTTTCCCCCTTTACCTGATTTTTTCTTGTCTCCCAGAGCTCAGCTACTTCTAGAAATTATTTCCTAAACCCTTAAGTCTGAGCAGGTACCACTCCTCTAGCCCAGGCAAACGTTCATTGTAATTGACTATGTTCTGCCATACTCCCTTCCCCCTTACCATGTAGGTTCCATCTGGGCTGGACCCATCTCACTCTTACTTGGGTTGTATCCCCAACCCTTGGCCTACAGTAGGTTCTCAATCTGGTCAAATAAAATACTGTGCATAGGTGTTGGGGGAAGAGGAGCCAGTTACTTGAACCATGGAATGACCACTGGGGGCACTTGTTCCACTGTGAAGACCTGATGGCCCACAGTAGTTTCTCGCTTGTTCTGCCCACTAGCCAGGGAGGCCAGCACTCCCCACCCCTACCCTACCTCCCTCCTCCTGTCCAAGTTGAAGTAGGCAGTTTGGTGCACCTCCCTGTAGGTCTGCAAGGAGCAATACTGGAGGGCGGCAAATTTGTGCCTGTGGATATGAATTGCTGGGGCGGGGTTGGGAGGGTGTTCCAGGAAGAGGGATGGCAGTGGTGTTGAGTGGTCCTTGTCTACTTCATGATCTCTCCTAGATGGCCACACTGACTTCAGGTGGGGAGAAGCCAGACAAGGACTTGGAAAGCTGCAGTGATGATGACAACCCGAGGCTCCAGCCTCCAAAAATGTGAGACCTCATTTTAGTGCCAGGGTCAGGTAGGAGATGCTTCAGATCTCAAGAGAAAGGACCTAGTCTAATGCTTGACTGTGGGCTTCTTCAGAGTGGAACTTGTACTAATCTTTGTATCCCCTGTACCTAGAAAAGTGCCAGGACACTGAACAGGGACTCAGTGTTAGAGGGGAGGAGAGGTCAAGCTTTTCTACCAGATGTTTATAATTCCTGATTCCCCCTTTCCCCCAACAGTTTGACTGATGAGATGTTGCTCCAAGCCTGTGAGGGGCGAACAGCACACAAGTAAGTAATGGTTAGCTCCTGAGTCACCCTTTTCTCCCCATCATAAACCTACCCCTGATGATAGCCTGTGGCACTTTTTTCAAAGATTTAATCTTTATTCTATTATTTTTCCATTGCCATTTAGTCCGCTTATACCGTCCCCCCCCGCCCAGCAATCACCACACTATTGTTTATCATGAATCTTTTTTCCTTTTTGCTCAATACCTCCGTCCCCTGCCCCCCGCAACTAGCTGTCAATGCCATTTCTTGACTCACTCACTCCAGAAAAGTGATTCATACTATATGCCCACCTCTGAAGCTGCTTAAAGATATACATCTCCTCCCCTACCAATTTCCCCTGCAGTCTCAAGAATTAGGCCTATTTTTCCCAAGATCCTCCCTCTGACTTTGGCCCTATTTCAGGGCTGCCCGTCTTGGGATTACAATGAAGGCTAAGCTTGCTCGGTTGGAGGCCCAGGAGCAGGCCTTCCTGGATCAGCTCAAAGGCCAGGACCCTGGGACCCCGCAACTGCAGTCTGAGTGCAAGCCCCTCAAAAAAAAGAAAAAGAAAGGGAAGCAGAAAGAGGAGGAGGCTACAGCAATCGAAAGGAATGCAGAAAAGAAATACCCAGAACACATTGACCAGAGCATCAGGAAAAGCAAGAAGAAGAAAAGACAACATCGAGAAGAAAAGGTCACAGATGAGAGACAGGGAATAACCATAGGGGATGAGGAAGAGGTCACAGGAACAAGAGAGCATGGGGAACTGAACAGCAGAGAACAAACTGACCAGTGCCCCAGGAAAAAGAAGAAAAAGAAGAGGCAGCAACATGAAGAGGAGAAGCGAAGGGTCTCAGATAAAGGGAGAGAGAAAGAGGTTCTAGGTAGTGTCATAACAGAGGTAGAGAGCCGAGCACACACTGATCCATGCAGCAGAAGCAAGAGGCGGCAGCAGGAGGAGGAACACTTGAACATAGAAGATAAAGAAGTTGAGGCTGTCGTAGATGGTAGGATCTGCGAAACAGAATGCAGAGCATTCAGTGATAGGAAGAGCAAGAAAAGACTGCAACATCAGGAGGAGGATGTCTTGGTTACAAGGGATGGACATGAGGATGGCAGCACTAGGGAGAGCTCAAGCAGCAGAGGGAAGAAGAGGCAGCAGCAAGCAGAGGAGGAAAGAGCCAGAGTCAGCACTGACCAGAGAGCAAAAAAAAAGAAAAAGAAGAGAGACTGAAGGTCAGGTAAGGGTGGGGCTCAGTCAATTTCTTTTCCAAAGTTGTTGAATCCTCAAGAGACCTGAGCTGATGCAGGTCTCCTGCACCTTTCCAGTGAGGAATCCTTCCCAAGGAGAAAACTGAGCTCGAATACAAGCCTGCTGAGAGACAGCGGTATTGCCATACCTTAACTGACAGTGTGGACATCTTTGCAGCTTCTAACCCAGAGATCATGAACTCAAGTGCCAGTAGTAGGAGCCAGGCAGCCAAAGGAAGGGGAGTGCTGAGGGTTGTGGGAACAGGAATGCAGATACCCTTTGAATGGGAATGTCCTGCTTTTAAAAAAACAAACTAGGAAGTACTTAGGTCAATGAGCTGGTTTCAAACACTATGGCAAGTGATTCAATAAACATCAGCTTGGGCTCCTGCCCTATGTATAAGTCTTGATTGGCATCTCCATTCCCAGCCTGGGTCCTGAATACAAGAGTCTCCTTGGAGGCCTTTGAAGAAATTCCTTCTGTTAATCTCCTGTGGTCTTGCTACACTGTTAAATGGAAGGGGAAAGCTTAGAGAACCCCCTCATCCAGTGTCCTGTGTCCCTAATGGATAAGAAGTGTGTGTGTAAATGACCACTTGGGAGCCTTTTTCGGCATCTGAAAGTCAGTTTTTATTGCCCCCAAGTGCCACAGCAACCTCTCTTCCTTGATCTGCTTCCCCAGAGATGACACCACATCTCCACTGTTGCCTGCCATCCATTAACCTTTACTGCCAGAAGAGCTCTCAGATCTCCACAGTCCTGGGAGAGGGAGGCACTAAATATTGGGAAGAACACCCACCCACCTTTTCTCACTGCAGACGATATACACACTCAGTGCCTGGGTACTGTGGCAGATTCAGCCGGTACTTCTTTTCCAGAGAAGGTGGTACGAAACGACCTCCCAGGTAGTGGTAGCGACCGGTAAACAGGGTGGCAGACTTTTTGGGTGCAGTCAAGGAGATGAGCAAGTCTGGCTGGATCCCTCCAGGATTTCCCTTCTCCACATCCCATCCTGAAAAGAGGGTTGTAATCAGGAAGAGAAGAGGCCAGATGTCTAGTCCTCTTCCAAACCTTGCTCTATCCTAGTTCTTAAGGAATGGGAAGCCCCCTTGCATCCCCACCTGACAAACTTGCATCCTTGGAGCTCCATGTATCCCAGGGCTTTGGTCTCTTGGAACCAACATGTATGGGGTGCTCCTGAACTCTTTGTTCCTTGGCTATGTTCTGCACTTCTAGACTCATTTTACACTTGATCTGAGCCTTGGGTCATGAAACAGGACTTCTGCGTACCTGCCTCAAGACAGGGCAGGGTCCCAATCCCAAACTCCCTGGACCCAGCACCTGAGGGAATGTCGATGCTGGCAATGGGCACAGTGAGTCCATTCAGGACACTCAGGACGCTGCGGAATGGCTCCCGAACATCACCCTTGAAGCTGAAGCCAAAGATAGCATCCACCACCAGCTCATATAGCTCATCAATCAGCATGGGCTGTGGTGGAACAGGAAAAGTAAAGAATATCAGAGTCAGCAGCTACACAAAGAGCTCTTAACAGGAGTAGGCTGTCCTCTGTACCCACAGACCACAGAGGCACAAATACAGTTGTCTCATTCAGATGGCATTCAGAGGCATAGAATTAAGTGTAAGTTGGTCCCTGATTCAGGCCAAGTTGAGTCTAGGCACCAAGTCCTGCCTGCCTGCTACTGGGGAGGCCACAGCATGGGAGAGCCTGAGACTGGGAGTTAGGAGAGAGGTTCTGGTCTCAGGTCTGCCATGATCTGGCCTGTGGCTCTGGACAAACCACTTACTTCCCTTTGCTGCACCTCAAGTCTGTTCATCTGTAAAATGTGTTAAGGAATTTTAAAAAAACATAAAACCCAAGCTCTCAAGTTTCCCACCCCTAAATCCAGGCATCTGCATAATGGGTTTAGGCATTCACTTGAGCTCCTAAGGGGGGCAAATAATGTGTTTACTTCATCATAGGGGAAGAGGAATGACTATAGGATAAAAGGAGTGACCAGGGGAGATGAAAGGGAAAGGAAGCTTTAGAGGTAGTGTTGGGAATTCATAGAGCACACCTTACCAAGGAGGGGAATGCTCTTAACACTGCTTCTATTCAAATGACCTACTTCAGGCACCTTCAGTGCGGGCCACTATTGCTACCCTCTAAAAGTTTAACGCCTAGCACTGGCTGGTGTGGCTCAGTGGACTGAGCACCAGCCTGAAAACCAAAGGGTTGCCCGTTGGATTCCCAGTCAGGGCCAAGTGCCTGGATTACTGTCCAGGTCAGCAGGGGGCGTTCAAGAGGCAACCACATACTGATATGTCTCTCCCCTCTTTAAAAATAAAATCTTAAAAAAAAAAAAAAAGTTTAATGTCATGAGGAAGATTAGCAGGTAAGTTGAAGAGCAGAATATAGTGGTTACTGTGGAAGAGGGCGCTGAACCAGAGGTACCTACCTCTGGGGGCATTTCACCGAGGAAAGGGATGTCCATTTTCTGACACTGGGTCACCAGTGCAGTAAAGAGTGGCTTGTTAGGTCTTTTGGGGTAATAGATGGTTGGCTCGTATCCCTACGAGGAAAGGAAAGGGTAATTCACGCCCAGGTCCTAGAAACCTCACAGCCTCCCCACAGCCCTTCACATACTCACAAAGAGTTTGAGGTGTCGCGCACAGACCAGGCCATCTCCTCCATTATTCCCGGGGCCACAGACGACCAGGACAGAAGGGGGATTCTTGGACATGGACGTAGGGGGATATGTCTGAAGGCAGAGTCAGAGGGGATTCAGAGGAGCTTTCGGCAGTTACAGCCCAGGCTTGGCTCAGCTGTCCCTCCCACTCCATTGTGCCTCGGCACCACTGACCTTGGCAATGGCTGTAGCACAGCTCAGCCCAGCCAGCTCCATAAGTTGGTCCACGCTGAACTGGTACTCGTTAAACAGCTCCTCGTCCACGGCCTGAGCCTCCTCCTGGCTGAGGAAACACTCTGCTCAGGGGCTCGCTCACGCGCGAGGTAGGGAGAGCAGTTCGCCCAAGGCCTGCGCCCACGCGCCCGACGGGAGCCCTGCCTACCTCAAGTACCTCACCGCGGTACTAGCCATAACTTCTGGGTCCTCGCGGCCCCCTGAGCTCAACCGCTGCGGCTCCCACCAGGTGGGTCCCGCGCGACAGATGTTGGCCTGAACTCTGACGTGTGGCAGGCGTGAGCCCGCCACCAGTAGCCCAAGCCCCAGCAGAGACCGCAGCGTGGACATTCAACCCGCCGGACGCACACCTCCTGCCAGGCCCGGCCACCCTGGCGCATGCGCAGCGCTTCGCCTCCGCCCCTAAGGGGAAGGCGGGGTTCCCAGTGTGGGAAGCGCGGCTAGGCTCCTAACACATTTTGCTGTGCTTGAGGAGGGAGGCCTCTGCCCATGCACCTTCCGTTACAGCCTGGATCCTAGCCCTCCTTTCCCAAGAGGACCTATTGCCTCCCATTTCCAGGTGGAGCTAAGTGCTTTGCTCCCAATCATCCTTTGATAATTCTTCATGTTTAGCATAGAACCTAGCCCGGGTCCCTGTCCGTACTACTAACTAGCTAAATGAGTTTTGGACACTCCAGATTTCAGCTTCCTGCCTGTAAAGCGGGGTAAAAGAACATTTTCATGGTGTGGTAATGCATGTAAAACGTCGACAGGACCAGGTACATAGGACTCAATAAATTAAGCTAATATTCTTTTTCTTTTTAGATTTATTTATTTCTAGAGAAGGGAAGGGAGTGAGAGAGGGAAACATCAATGTGCGGTTGCACCTCGCGCGCCCCCTACTTGGAGACATGGCCTGCAACATAGGCATTTGCCCCGCACTGGGAATCGAACTGGCAACGCTTTGGTCCACACACCCGTGCTCAATCCACTGAGCCACACCAGTTAGGCCTCTGCTTCTCCCTCTGCCTCTCCCTCCATCTCCGCCTCCCCCTCCCCCGCTCCCCTCTCCTCTTGCCCAAGACCTCATTAACTTTGTAACTTCACCAGTATATAAATACCTTTGCTTTTATGCCTCTACCCCCCCCTTTTAATTATTTTTTTTAAAATTACTTATTCTTAGAGATAGGGAAAGGGAGGGAGAAAGAGGGAGAAAAACATCAATGTTTCCAATTGAACCGGTGACCTTTTGCCTTGTGGGATGATGACCCACCAATGGAGCCACAGGAGTCAGGGTAGAGCTAGTGTTCTTATGTACGCTATTAAGCGTTTTATCTAACTTCAGACCCCTCTCCTCACTACATTAGCTCCCCCTAACTGTTTACCAGGATAGCACAACGTATTTCTAATCTTACAGAATACTTATGCCTTTATAAAGATAATAGTATTAGAAAATTATAGATCTTAAGAGGTCGAGCATGCCTTTGTCAAAAATGTTGAAACCATAGACTCTGGTCTGTGACAGTATTTCAAGAAAAACCTGGAGAGGAGAACTAAATTTTTTACCCAAGAACTTTTAAGAGTGTGAACACATTTTTGCATGGTTAAGAAGTTTGTGGAATAACAAATCAGTTACCATTATGGCACTAAGATAATTATCCACGTGGGATGAAGGTCCTGTTTTTAAGCTAGATGTATTCTCTTTCTGTATCATGGATTGCCTTCCTGGCTAGTTTGCTGCAAAAGGCAAGAACCACTTCACCTTTTAATTTCTCCTCTGATAATCTCCTTTTAATTATGAAGTTTATCATCTTCTATGGATGTATCCTTAATCTCCAGCTACACTTGTTTTACATGTTTGTGGTGGGAATTGAATTTATGAAACTATGATTGTGGTGAAAAACTGTTTTTGTCAGACTGTGTTTATGGTTGAATATTGAGTTTTCAGTGTATATTACAAATGGATAATCTTGCCCAAGACCTCATTAACTTTGTAACTTTACCAGTATATAAATAACTTTGCTTTTATGCTTGTTTGAGAAATTAATTTGGTGATTCTGAAGATTCATTTCTAAAACGCAATGTGAAACATTTCTTTTACATAGGTAACATTTTGAATACCTGTATGTGCCAAATGATAATATGAATCATCTTATTTCATCTTCACAGCAACCCTGTTATTTTTCCAGATGAGAAGACTGAGGCTCAAATATTTTGAAAGACATGCCCAATGATACAGTGATAGTTGTCAGTGGAGCTAGTATTCCATCAGCTTGACCTTGAGTTCTGCACTCTTAAGCATCATGCTATACTGAACTGCTTCCCCAAATGCAGAAGTATGTAATTATAGGCTTGTCCCTGCTGCTTTCATTTTGATAAGATATAACTATAAAATAATGACACAAAACATCTCACCACACACACACCCCAGTCTCCCATATAGAATTTATAAAACGACCAAATGAGGTGTGTCCCCAGAAAGGCAGTGCCCAAGGCCAAGTCTACTTTGTTGCTGTCCTTCAGACTTTTGGAGTTTTCTCTGAGTAATACCTTCATAACCATTTAGGAATGTTTAGTAACACATTCCTAAATTAGGAATATTTAGTAATACATTTAGGAAGGTTTAGTAATACCTTCAAAACCGCATGGATTGATCACCTGCTGAGCTCCAGATGCTTTACATATATTATCTAATGTAATCCTGTCACTCCTATGATATATTTTTAACCTCATGTTATAGATGAGGAAATTGAATGGCAGAGAGAAGCCACATAAAAGAGAAGCCTAAGATAAGACAGCTATTAATTGGTAGAGCCAATGATGGTTGATGTTGAATCGGCAATACACTTGGGTGGCAGATGCTGCTACCTGTCCCTCAGAATCCATTCTCCTTTCTTCCTTTGATAAAAAAAATCCCTGAGATTTATCTGGCCACATCTAAACACTGGCTGCACATCTAAACACTACATTTTCCAGTTTCCCATGCAGCAACTAACTATTCACATGTGATTAAATTCTGACCAATAAGATTTGAGCAGAAATTATATATGCAACTGGTAAGTCATATCCTTTAAAAAAGGTTTTCTTCCACTTCCTCTTTTCTTCTTAGTGGCTGGAAGGAAGGGATTATGCTGAGATGGAGTAGCCATTTACCATGAGATATAAATCCCAGGTTGAGGATGGCAGAGCATCCTGCCTAGCTCCCCAAGCTCCACAGAGCCACTCTGTAGGCCTCGGACTAGTTATGAGACAGAAATAAAGTTTTCTCTGGGTAAAAGTACTGTTATATTGGCTTTTGTTATAGTTAGTGAACCTGCATCCTAATCAAGACATCTTGAATGCCTAACAAGATCATATACTCTATTTACATGAGGAAGATTAACAGCTGTGTCTCCAGCACCTACTTCTGTGTCTGGCACATAGTAGGTCCTCTACAAATGTTTTAATGAATACTCAAAATCTCACTGTGAAGTAGTTCATAGTACAGTAGAAGCTTCTTATCTGACATATCAGGGGGGAATTATCTTATTTCAATTTAAAGGAAAAAAATGTAGGCTCTGGCTTGTGTGGCTCAGTGGATAGAGTGCCGGCCTGCAAACCAAAGGGTCTCTGGTTCGATTCCCAGTTGGGGCACATGCCTGGGTTGTGGGCCAGGTCACCAGTTGGGGGCATGCAAGAGGCAACCACACATTGATGTTTTTCTCCCTCTCTTTCTCCTTCCCTTCCCCTCTCTCTAAAAATAAATAAAAATCTTAAAAATATATATATTTGCTTGCCACCTGTCAAAGTGTGGCCAGGCTCTTCTTTGAGAACAGAGCCAATGATTGTATTTCTCCATTTCCTTCCATAAACCTCACCAGTTATGTATCACCTACAATTTGCAGTTTGCTTCCTAAGATGGAACAAAAAATAAATGGCATGCTTAAAGCAATCTAATGTAAAATTCATCTAGATTTTTATTATTTTCTCCAACTCTGTAATAATCTTCTTGCTCACAACTAATTCAACAATAGGTTTGTGGGTTTTGGGGTTTTTTTTTTAAGATTTTATTTATTTATTTTTAGAGAGAGGGGGAGGGAGGGAAAAAGAGAGGAAGAAAAACATCGATCTGTGATTGGTTGCCTCTACCATGCCCCGAACTGGGACCTTTCGGTTTGCAGGCTGACGCTCAGTCCACTAAGCCACACCAGCCAGAGCTCAACAACAGTTTTTAAAGTGACTCACCTTGGTCAAGTCTTCTAAGGATTCAACTTTGTTTTCACAGAAACAAAACTTGTTTTCACACTTTTGACTCATCAATTTATGTAATATTTAATTAAATTACAAATTACAATAACACATACAACTGGCATAAATACACTTGGTGGCAAGCACAACCAACTCTTGATAAACAATGGCTTAACTAGGGGAGTAAAACTGCCTAGCATTATAGAAGAAGGTTAGAATCATGGCTTCTCCACTTACTAGTTGTGTGATCTGAGAAGACAAACTACTTAGCTTTTGTGCCCTCTTTTCCTCATTTGTGAAATGGGATTTACCTGTTGTGATGATTACTATGTGCTAAGTGATCAATAAACCTTACTTAATATCACTGTTGTGGCTGCTGACTGCAGCTGTCCTACAGGCCACAGGCCTCAGGGGCCTGCATGCAGCCTCTGCTACGTTTCACAGAGAAAGTGGAATGCACAGGTTGCTTAAGATGTACCTTCTATAGTAGTATAATCCCATGTTCCATATGAGAAAATGGAGGTCTGAAGAGAGTCATGGACTCCAAAGCCTCTTAGCCAAGAAGTCATAGTATTTAGAACTGGAGAGGGCCTTAGTGATCATGAGATTTGTATCCAGAAAGAAAGGGGAAGATTCACTGACCATTTTCCTTTTCCCTTTTGCCTGTTGAGTCCTAAGGTCTCATCAAGGAGCAAACAGCCTCAGTGCCGAGACTGCAAAGCCCTTTCCCAGCCTGCTTGGGAGCCCGCTTGCTGACTGCATCGTATTCCATGTCCGTATAGTGCTGAACAACTAGGAAGAGGCTTGGTCCCAGAAACTCCTCAAGTGTGGATGTTGAGGCACCGCTGAGGCCAGCAGAGTGGGATCACATGATCATGCAGAAGCTAGATGTGGTGCGTCTCATCTGTGGGCCCCTGCTGGGGGTTTCCCCGGGCTGTTTTAATGACCTGAACGAGGCAGAGCAGATTTCACCCGTGGAATGGCTGTAGAAAGAGCAGAGGAAGCCTGCTCTGGCTCTAGCTTCTGTTGCCCTATCTGGACCTTACCTTTGCCGGTGAGCTACAGAGCAGTAGGGAGTAGACTTAAGCTGCATATCCCCCCATGCAGTGGGACACTCCCTTTCTCTGAGGTCTACAGTCAGGCCACACAGGAGGCAGGGTATACGCCAGGCCTCCTGAGCTGGGTGACGTTTGTTCGGATTGCTCAAGGGCAAAGACAAAGGGGCTCAAAGCACATAGCCCCAAGCACCAGATGACATCTTCCCCAACTTTAACGGTGATCACGTTCCATTAAAATCATCCAAAGCCACACTCTTTCTTACTCCCTTTATCCATTCTCCTGGCCTCCTTCCCTCCCCAAGGACCCACATATTGACTTGGGGGTCCCTGGGTACCAGAATGCCAGCGTACTCCATTCTGGAGGGTGGGGGCTTAGTTTCCAAATGGGAGATGGTCCAGGACTTGGATGGAGAAGGTGAGACACATTCATCACAGGCCTCTCTGAACCAAGAACCATGATTGTGGAAAAGAGGACACTTTGGGAGAACAAGCAGGGTGGGTATCAGGGAATGTGTTGGTCACTGCACATGAAGGGTGCACTGAAAACTATACCCAGTGTGGGGCAGGTGATTGACAAGGCTGGGCCATCTAGGGCTAAACATGGGAATGATTTACCAGCGCCTTGAAGGAAACGCACCAAAAAGAAAATATTGGTGAATTCACGTCAACAAATAGCAAGGAACTCTGCTGCCAGAGTCGGAAACCTTTGAGGGAAGAGACAAGACAGAGTAAGAAACAACAAGCTAGAGTAAGAAAAGCTGGGTACCTGGCACCTAGTAGTCTTCCAACAAACCCTGGTGCTCTAAGATGCAGTTCTAGACGTTAGGAAAGCTGTAGAAGCAAGAAAGGATTCCAGAAAGGGTTCAGGGACAATGTGCCAGAGTCTTGAGAGGGGAGCAGAAATAGGGAGAGGGCTGGTTTGGGGTGTCAGACCTGAGGAAGGGAAGCGGGGCTGTAAGGGAAATGAGGGGTGTGGGGAGAGTGCTCCCCTCAGCCAGGACAGCCTGCATGTCCTCACCCTCCAGTCCCTGCACAAGCCAACCCAGTCAACCCAGGCACAGGGAACTTTCACGAAGTCCTCTTCCTCTTTCTCCTCATGACCCTCTTCTAAGTCTCAATCTTTCCACCCACCCAAAGATCTATAGGGGCAGGGAACAGGGGGCAGAGCAGCACCCAGCCAGTTCCCCTCCTCCCTGGGGCACCTACGGGGTCCCAGCCCCCGACCCTCCCCAGCACTGCTGCAGTACTTCCTAAGACCCTCTGAGAGTCACATCCATCCCAGAAGCTCCACTCCACCCTGCTCCGCTCCACTCACCTGTGCCTTGCTTCTGCTGGGTCCCTTGCCATCCTGGCTGGAGTCCCCTCTGGGCAGGGCTCACCTAGAGCCTGAGACCTCCCTGGAGCTGAGGTCTGGAAATGAAGGGGAATCCGTTTGAGAAAATGGCTCTGGATGTGCTCAGGAGTGTTTGTTTCCTTCACACACATGGCCCCAGAGAGATGGAGAAGTGCTAGAGAGAATGGGGCCATGCCACATGACTGAGAGTGAAATTTCATGGTAGGCCCTTTGTTCTGTTAAGACCCCCACTAGTAACTATCATGTTAGAACTCAGACTTGTGTGGACTATCAGATGTGGCCAAAGCCTGACCACTACCCAGTTCTGCTTGGAGCCTCCAGGAGTAAAGTCACAGAAAGTTAGTGGCCAACTTTGGATGGAACCCAGGTCCTCTGACTCCCAATCCAGTCCTCTTTTTGTATCAGCCTAATTTAATTTTTGCTTGCAAATTATAAATAAGTGTCCTAGTCTTTAAAATAAGAGAAGACATAAAGTATATTAAATAGATATAATAAATACTAAAGTAAATTTCAATTCCTGAGATGAGAGGCTTCCTGAGGATGAGGAGGGAGACAGCTGGAGAGACATCAACCTGTTTAGAGAGGCTGGGAGTTAGAGAGAGGATGAGGGGAAGGAGGAGAAGGAGCATGGTGGAGACCCACGGAGAAATGGCCCCGGAGAACCGGAGGTGGGAGAAAGTGACTTCTTTGGAGCATTGCCTCCATCGTGTGGCCCTTTTGGGAACTGCAGTCAAGGACTTAAAATTCCACCTCTTCCTTGGTGTGGCTCAGGGTCCATTTATTTGTTTCTTTGTTTGTTTATAGAGAGGAAGAGGGAGAGAGAGACACATCCATTTTTTGTTGTTTATGTATTTATATATTCATTTATATATCCACTTATTTATATATTCATTGGTTGATTCTTGTATGTGACCTGACAGGGGGTTGAACCCACAACCTTGGTGTATTGGCACGATGCTCTAACCAACTAAGCAACACAGGCAGGATGCTCAGGGTCCTTATTCGCACCCCTTGGCATTCATCCACTGAGCTAGTTAACATTCAGCCAAAGCTCTGGCACAGCCCTAGTGTTGGACGCATATTACAATCTCCTGCCCCCATCCCACCCCAGGTGACCTTAGGAAAATGATACATGTACCATATGCTGGTCCAGGCGCAGATGAACACAGAAGAGCAGTCAGGCGCAGCATCCCTGAGGACATTGGCTCTGCTTACCTCTACCCTCTCCCTTCTCCAAGTTGCCTCTCCCTATCCCCAGCTCCTTGTCTCAGGTGTCATCTTACCAGGGTATGAGTCAGGTCCAGCCCACCCTGGGCCAAATGCGTCCTCATGGCATCCGCCAGCTTGCCCACCAGCCGCTCTCGCACAGAATCTGGCTCCTTCTGGAAAGAAGGATGATAATAGGGTGATGGGGAAGGCCTGGGCTTTGTGGTTTTCTGGGACATGGGGAAAAAGAAATAGGAAAGGAAGGAAGGAAGGGGGCTTTGTCTTCTTTCTCTTTTGCCCCATCCCCGTGCCTTTGCCAGAGTCCTGCCCAGAACTGTGTATAGAGACGAACTCTTCCTCACAACAGTGTCCCAGGAACGAGCACACAATGTGCTCAGTGCATGTTTGATATGTGAACGAATTATGTAGAGAAGACAAGACATGAGCAGGAATGTTAGCCGGAGAATGCTTCCTGGAAGGCTAGCAGGAACAGTTAGATTCTGGGACGGAGGATCTCACCTGGCACCGGGTCAGTGCTTCCTTATAGTACTTCAAGGCCTGGTCATGCTGCCCCAGTCTGGCTGCAGCAGCCCCCAGACCCTCGCAGGCCTGCCACTGCCCCTTCATGTCTCCTGGGGAAGAGATCCTGAGAGGTCCTTTTACGGCTCCTACTCCACTAACCCTCCCCTCAAGAGGTACCCTCACCTCCAATCCCCCACATGCCTCCCCACCAGCCCCAAGGACTCTTGGCCTTTGCTCCACCACCCCCAAGCCACCTGCTAACCTCCTCACCCTCACCAGTGTCCTGGGCAGCCTGCAGAGCGTGTAGGTAGTTGTCTCTGGCTGCCTTGTGGTCCCCTAGCTGGCTCAGCGCAAACGCCAGGCTGCCGAAGCTCCGGCCTTGCTCCCACCGCTGCCCCACAGAGCCTGACGACAGAGCCCACCCAATTCTAAGAGGGGACTTAGCCACTGGGGCACCAGGACCCTTTCCCTGAAGAACCAAGGGAGGGTTTGCAGGAGTTCCAGTGTTCAGCCCCAGCACAGAGGCGCAGAAGTTCAATACCCATACCCAGCCTCTCCTCAGTCCTGAGTTTTGACCTGAATGCCTTCCCCTGGCTATTATGAGCCATGCAACAGCCCTGTGAGGCAGGCAATGCAGGTGTTAATAGCTCTTCCTTCTTCCCATGGCTGCCTTCCCAGCCCTAGGCCTCAGGCTTCGGTCCACAATTCTCTATCTTGTCTGGCTATCCTATCTCCGGCATCCCCAGCACTTACCCTCTTGGTTCTGAGCTTCCCAACCCCATACCTAGTCCAGAGGTCCATCCTCTCTTCAGCCGTTGGACTCCTGCTGGAACCCCCTCTTAGTTCCTTAGTCTCAATCCCATTCCCCAGTCTCTGGTACTCACCATGCAGGTCAGCAGCCTTCTGGTGAAACGCCCGGGCTTCCTGATAGTTGCCAAGGGCATTGTGGGCCATTCCAAGGTTTCTCAGAACCGTGGCCTTCTCTCCTGGCCTCCGGCACAAGGGCAGAGCCTGCAGGAAGGCCTCGGCTGCTAGAGGAAACAGCTGGAGCTGGGAGTAGCCCAGGCCTAGGTCATTATAAAGTTGCCCTAGAGGGCAAGGCCAGGGTCACTGGTAGCCAGGTCAGATGCAACTGAGGCTATACTGATGTAGCCCTCCCACTCTCGCAGGCTCCCCCCATTCCCTTCCCCATCCCTCAGCAATGCCTCTGCTTCCGCCCCACCTCCAGAGTATCACTAGATCTGAATCTCCCCCGATCCCACACTTCTCTGAACAAAGGCCTCACCCAGCAGTCCCCGTTCAGTGCTCATCTCAGCAAGCCTCCGGCTCTCCTCCAGCACCTGCACCACTTCGCCCACGCCATGCTGCCCGCTGTTCAGCATACACACCGCTGCAGCCCCCAGTGCTAGGGCTGCAGCTTGGGGCTGCCCTGCTTGGGCATAGGTCCGGCCTGCTTCCTGCAAGCAGTGAGCTGCTAGTTCAGGCTCTCCCAGGGCCTGGTAGCAGGCTCCCATTTTTGCCTGGGCCTGCCCCTGGTCACCTAGGGGCTGGTAGTGGCCCAGAGCCCTTTGGTACCAAGCCAAAGCTTGAGGCAGGTTGCCCAGGGCATGGTAGGCCAAAGCCACATTGAAACACTGGTCACCATGACACCTGCCCTGTGCCTTCTCTTCAGGTTGGGCTCTTAGGAGCAGCTCAAGGCCTCTGGCTGGGTCCCCAGTCTCCACGTAGGCAGCCCCCAGGTTGAAGGCACAGGCCCGGAGAATAGGGGTGTCCTTTTCTTGTGGGGCCTCAGAGGCCAGGAGGAAGGCCCTCTGGAAGCTGGTCAAGCCCTCATGGTTCCGGCCAGCCAGGAGGGCCCCGTGGCCAGCCCTGGTGAGGGCTTGGATGCTGGCCTCTAGGTGTTGCCACTTTCTTTTCTTCTTTTTCTTCTTGGAGCTTGAGGGCTCGGGCTCAGGTTCTTGTGGGGTATCCTCAGGGTTGCGGGAAAACATCGTACTGACAATGGAAGCACAGAGTTCAACATGTCACCCTTCACCTCCTCCAAAGCAGGATCCCTCTAGGGCAGTGATTGTCAACCTCTTTCATCTCATGACACAAATAAACTAATTAGTAAAATTCTGTGTCACACCAAAAAGTGCTATATAGTTTTTACCTGTCTAACAAAAAAATAGGTACAATTTTGATTCATTCACACTGGGCTATTGTTGTATTGTCTGCTGTCATTTTTTTATTTGACAATCTAAGGGAAAAGCAGTCAGTGCCCAAGACTAAAAAGTTAGGTATTGCATGTTTTATTTATTTTTTAAAAAGATTTATTTATTTATTTTTAGAGAGGGGAAAGGAGGGAGAAAGAGGAGACAAACATCAATGTGTGGTTGCATCTCGCGTGCCCCCTACTGAGGACCTGGCCTGCAACCCAGGCACATGCCCTACACTGGGAATCGAATCAGCAGCCCTTTGGTTTGCAGGCCAGCGTCCAATCCACGGAGCCACATCAGCTAGGGCAGGTACTGCATGTTTTAAAAATTCTTGCAACATACCAGTGTACCACAGCACACCAGTTGAAAATCGCTGCTCTAGGGCAATTTAACTCTACCCCTGCCTTGGTATGAACCTCAGAGTTTCAAGAATTTCCCTCTGCCATCTCACTTTGCTTTCATCTATCCCACGGGGCACCATATCAACTCATTCTGTTGTCCTAATTCTTAGTCCTCCTTCAACGCTCAGTTCAAATAATAGCTTCCTTCAGACAGTCCTCTTCCCTCTGCCCTGGCTGATGTGGCTCAGTGGATTGGACACTGTCCTGTAAACCAAAAGGTCACCAGTTTGAGTCTCAGTCAGTGCACATGCCTGGGTTGTGGGCCAGGCCCCTGGCTGAGGGCTTATGAGAGGCAACCCATTGATGTTTCTCTCACACATGGAAGTTTCTCTCCTTCTCTCCCTCACTCCCTTCCCTTCTCTCTAAAAAGAAATAAATAAAATCTTAAAAAAGAACGTCCCCTTCACTCAACCAACTGGGTCCTTCTGTACACCCATAGCAACCTAATGTCTTTTATAGCATTTGTCACACTAGGTTAGAGTTGTTCACTTTCTTGTCTGTCTCCTCTATTACATTTGGAGCAACTTGGAGGGCCTGGCACATAGTAGATTCTCTATAAATATTTATCAATATTATCTTATTAAGGTTATTATCTTTAAAAAGGTTATGGAGATGGGTGGTCTGATGGTTGCACAATGTCAGTATACGTAATGCCACTTAAAATGGTTTAAAACTATACATTTTATATTACATATATTTGAATACAATAAAAATGTTTATTGAATGAATAAATGAATTGATGAATAAACTGACCACATACAGGGTCTCCTCCATCATCTCCCTCACCCTGTGCCTCCACATACACTCATCCACTCATAATCTAGGTGTTTAATATTAGATATGATTCAAGTCAGTTTAACTATGTGCCGGGAGCCATAAAAAGCACTGGGGTCGCAAAGCTGAAGAGGCTATTGAATTGGCAAGAAACTAACTTCCAGGAGTGAGAATTCTGTCTCTCTTTCCGTCCTCCACTTATCTCAAGGGGAACTTCTTTCTCCCCTGTCTCCTTGGCTTTCTGTCTGCTGGCTAGTTCCAGTCCCCCAACATCCTGCTCTGGTCTCTAGGGTGCTCTTAGATCCAAATACGTTTCTCTCAACAGCATGTTTCCTCTTAGTATCTCTCCCTTATTGAGGCAGAGCTTTTTCATGAACTCTCCTCCCAAGAGACAAAAAAAGGGGTGAAAAAGATCCAGGCACTGCGCTCTCAGCCCCTCCCCCTTTCCTTCCCACCTCCTTTTTCAGGTTTTAGGAGAAGTAAACAGAGGTGATATATATTCTCTTTTCAAATAAATTTCCCCTTCTCCTAAGAACACCTTTGAATCCTGCTTCTTGAAGGCCCTTATTCCTTCGCAAATGTCCTGGGGCATTTCTGGCTACGCCCACCAGATTTTGGGGCCCCAGCCTTAAAACGCCTTACCTCCTTCGATCTTCTCCGCAGCTGGCTTTCTGGAATGGTCCCTCTGGGTTGGATTACCTTTCTAGCTCTTTGCTCAGAGCCTCCTAAATTACCGGACTACCAGGTACCGCCCTCTATTGCTAGGGAATTCTTTGATTGACAGCTCAGGTGCCCTGCCTCAGTGCTGAACCCTGCTGGTTCTTGAGCACAGGCTCCTGAATTCCATTCCATTCCATTCCATTCCTGTCCCGCCACTCTCCAAACCTGTACACACACTCTCAAGTCCCTCACTTGAATCAATGAGTCAAAGCATCATGGGCTTGTTACTGGTTGAAACTTCAAAGGTCATCTATCCTGTACACTCATTTCACAGAGGAGGGGACCAGGCTCACAGACCAGGTGTGATCTGCCTGAGGTCACAGAGCAGCCATGCAGCTGAGATTAGAAGCAGATTTTCTGCCTCTGGGCTAAGAATTAGGCTAGGGTTGTTTCCACTAACTGTGATCGCAAGCTTTAGTAAGGCTGGAGCTGTGCCAGAAGTCAACCCTTTCACACATGTACACACCGTCACACACACACTCTAACTCATTATACTTCTGTGTCATAGTTTCACAACTGGGAACAGGGCAAAAGGTTGATGATCAGGAAAGGTCTAGAGATCAGAAGAGCCTTCCTGCCCCCAGACTCCTTTTCCCAGCCTCACTCATCTGCAACTTGCAAGTTCTGCTTAATGAGAGGAGAGCAGGCCCCAGGACAATGGGCACCTACTGCCCGAATTCACCAAGGGTGCCTACATCAGAAAGCAAATGTCCTCATTTTCCTCAGGAAAGGCCTCTTTTAAGTAGGTAGGGCTTTGCCAGAAACAAAATGATAAGGAAATAGTTGGGCTCAGCTGCATTGCCTGGCAGCCTTTGCTGAGTGCCTGCTGAGCCATGATGGAGGCAGACTGTCCCAGCTCCCCACAGCTTCTGCCCCAGGGTTGGGCCTTCCAGAGCTACCACAGCCTGGCCAGGACCAAATGTGCAGCTCAGTCCGTTGTTGACTCTGCACACTTACCTTAAGGGAGAGATGATTTCGGGAGGGAACAGGGACTGAAACTGCTCTCACCAAGGTTGCAAAGAACTTTGAATGATCTAGTCATTATTTTCTTGAATCATTTTCTTGTTTGATGTTCTGCTCTATCTGACATATCCTCACAACTTTCTGCTTACTTTGCTTCCGTGTCCCACATGTCCTCACTCTCTTTCTCCTGCCCTGACAGCTCCTTTTCTGTCTCCTTTTCTGTGCCCTCTGTCCATGTCTTAATTCTAGTTCCCACTCTGCCCTTTGCTCTTTCTTGCTTTACATACTCTTCCACAACCATTTCATTCACTCCTCTGATTTTAACACCACCACCAAGCCAATAATTTCTAAATGTATACCTCCAGACTTAGTTTGTCCAAGCAAAATTCCTAGTTCTTCAAGTCTACTCATTCTAATGGGCCAGACAAAAAGTCTGTTACTTTTTTCCTGTAAAATGAAAGACACATTTTTCATTTTCATCCATAACTTTATTGATTTGGATATCTTGAGTATGTCAGCTAACTCCCACTATTGGCTTCTAGTAGGTAGAGGTCAGGGGTGCTGCTAAACATCTTCCAACGCAGCCCTGGCTGGTGTGGCTCAATGGATTGAGCGCAAGCCTGTGAACTGAAAGGTCACTGGTTTGATTTCCGGTTGGGGCACATGCCTGGGTTGCGGGTCATGTCTCACACATTGATGTTTCTCTCCCTCTCTTCCTCCCTTCCCCTCTGTCTGAAAATAAATAAAACCTTTAAAAAAATAGCCCTGGTTGGTGTGGCTCAGTGGATTGAGTTGCCAGCCTTCAAATCAAAGAGTCGCCGGTTCAATTCCCAGTCAGAGCACATGCCTGGATTGCAGGCCAGGTCCCCAGTAGGGCGTGGGCAAGAGGCAACCACACATTGATATTTCTTTCTCTTGCTTTCTCCCCCCTTCCCCTTTCTCTAAAAATAAATAAAAATAAATAAATAAACACTTTCCAATGCATAAGACAGCCCCATAGCAAATAATTATTTGGCTACGATGTCAATAGTACCAAGAAACTTTGCAAACTACTTTTGACATGTTCGATCAGCCACAGCATCTTCTCCATACACTGCACCAATCTTTGCATTTCAGTTGTGTTTTTACCTCTCTTGAAATAACAAAGCATAATATACCAAAAACGTTGTGTATCTTCTTCCATCTTCAATATTAAAATGGCTGCACAAAAATTCACCAATTTTGATGTTTTTTTAAATGCAATCTGATATGACAGCTGTCACAATACAATCTAACAAAGCTGTTTCAAATAAATTAAAGACAGGTAAGCGCTTTACTGCAGCCATCATACTGAAAAAACGTAACAGACTTTTTGGCCAACCCAATATGTTCCCAGTCTTAGCTCATAAACCATCAAGCCAGTCTCTAAGCTGGAAACCTGGTACACATCCATAACTCACCACTGTCCTTCAGCTCTCAGTCCTATTGGTTCTACTTCTGAAACCTTTCTTTTTCTTTTTTTTTTTTTAAGTTTATTTATTTATTTTTAGAGAGAGGGTAAAGGAGGGAAAGAGAGGGAAACACTGATGTGTGGTTGCCTCTCGTGTGGGGACCTGGCCCACAACCCAGGCATGTTGCCCTGACTGGGAATCATACCAGCAACCCTTTTGTTTGCAGGCCAGCACTCAATCCACTGACCACACCAGCCAGGGCTGAAACCTCTCTCTAGTGTACCCTCCCCTCTACAGTCTCATGACCATGGCCTTGGAAGTGGTATAGTATGTAGTGATTAGGAACTCAGGCTTGGAATTGAACTAAGTTTGAATCTTGCCTCTACCAGTTTTTAGCTGTGTGAAATTTCTAAGCTTCAGTGTCCTCATCTATACTGTGAAGATTAAATAAGACAGTCCTTATAAGGTGATGCTAATTACAGTCCCAGGATATAATAAGCACTCC